AAAAGGGTTTGGGGCCGGGGGCGCTAGGAGGAGGGGGGGGGGGGGGACTTGGAGCTCCATTCAGGCGAAGGCTTGAAGATGTAAGGGCCATGAAGAATGGGGTAGGTGGCAGCCAGTGACTTTAACGGAAGGTGAGCTGAATCCTTGGGGCCTCGTCCTGAGAAGAGCGGAGAGTCCGAGCTGGAGCTGATGGACAAGCCAGGACAACGTGCAAGCGCCCCCTGGGGCTTTCCTGGGCCCACCACCGGGGGCCTCTGAGCCCGGATCCCACCTTCCTCCCGTCCTCCTGGCACAATGTATTCCCACCCGGGTCGCGCCTGGGAAACTCGGCACCACCACCTCTCCCCTAACCAGATCCTCTGGATTCAGACATGGCTTCCCAGCCCCCTTTGGAGAAGCCGTTCCTTAAGAACTGTCGTCCCCGGGAACTCTAACCTGACCTTGTTGGGAGAGGAGACTCAGCAGTGTGGGAGCTCATTGCTCTCTGCGGGTCAGATCTTCTCACCTTTACTGGAGTCTGGCGTGTTGCATTTCTGCAGTTGTTCTTGCCTGAACATGAGAGTCCTGAGGAGCGCTGAGTACCAAACTGGTACCCAGGACATCTTTTGGGATGAGTGGTCCTCTGAGGGAAGACACAAGAAGGAAAAACGGAAAGCAGAGGGAAGAAGAAGGCATGAGAAGAGCAGGGGCTGCCAAGCACAGAGAGAGAAAACAGAGGTGCGGAGAAGGAGGGGACCCCGTGAATCAGCCTTCACCGCGAGGCCTTAATCACGGTGCTCAGCCTGCTGTCGGTCTGGGGAAATGGAAGTTGACAGGAAATCAGCAGGAAAAGGACATGGTCACAGACCGACTCATACTCTTTTGTTAGGTCCTTCCACAGCTTTCTCTCTCTCTCTCTCTTTTTTTTAAGATCTTATCTACTACTTGACAGAGCATAGAAGGGGGAACAGCAGGCAGAGGGAGAAGCAGGCTTGCAGAGCAGGGAGCCCGACGTGGGGCTCAATCCCAGGACCCTGGGATCATGACTGAGCCAAAGGCAGACACTTAACGACTGAGCCACCCAGGCCCCAACTACTGCCTTCTCTCGTTTGTGCTCCCTCACCATCCCAAAGTCCGGCCAATTCTGACGCATTCCTCACGCAGACACTGATTTATCTACAGACTGCGGATACGTCGCTAGAGGACAATCACCTGTGAACACCTAACCAGATGAGCAGTCCTTGATCGCCTTTTTCTTTCGAAGAATGGGAACTTCGAGTGGGATATAAGCAAGTTTCAGTGGTAAACCCGAAATCTCTTAGCTTCTACACAGTCGTAAGAGAAGCAGCTCCTGCCATCCCAATCTCGAAACCTGCTTGCCGTTAAACCACTCACTGGGTCTACCATGTGCCGCGGCACGTGGATCTGTGTTATTCACCATTTCCCAGCACCTAGCACTGTGCCTGGTGTATGACCTGTGTCCAGTGAAGTTTGGCATTGGCTGATCGAACGAATGATGGTCCCAGTCTCTGCTTCATGCTTAGGTGACCTTCAGTCTAAGACACAGATGTATGGGAAATACAGAATCCCTGAGGGACAAGAAGACCCAAACTTTGCTCTGTTCAGGTCCACCCAACCTTCGTCCCACACATACAAGCTGAATGCTGTCGGTATGGTGGGAAGTGGGTTGGGCTCTCAGGTACAGATATGGACACAGAGCCTTGCTCCCACGTGTGTGTTTCCATGATCACATTGTAGCACGTACAGTCCGCATCAGCAGCTAGACAGAGCCTGTCGGCCACTGAGTGTCCCCTCTGCCCGGACATTGTCCATCGTGTTGAAAGCACTCAGTACTTGACAGGACATCTAAGGGAGAGGATAGCCTCCTTGGGAGAGAAGACATATCCAACTGTACACAGTCAGGATCCTTCACTGGGAGAAGAAAAGCTGAGTGTTGTGGATGCAGCAGGGAAGGAAGATGCTGAAGATACTGGGAAGCTCTCGGGATCGTGAGAAGGTGGAGAGAATCAGGACTGAGGCTGAGCCCCAAAGCCTGCAAAACTAGTCCGGTGACAGAACCATCCACACTGCGGCTCCTGGCCAGTGCCACGTCGGCCTCAGAAACTCAATGTCACCTCCACCGAGAAACTGCCATTGCCCTGAGTGCTGCCGTTCACACCAGCGGCGGGACAGCTCCGGACAGAGCCTGCTTCCTCAGGCTGCTCAAACCCGCATCCAAGTTTCCCAGGGACGAGCCAGATTGGCAGAACCCGGGTCACATTCTGGAGCTCAGCTGCCAAGAAGGCTGGGGATGTGACATCTAAAGGAAGGTGAGCTAATCAAAAGGTGACAAGTGGCCATAAGTATGACCAGTGTCCCCTGTACTATGGCAATACATGATAGGAGCAAAGTCAGGTACGTCCTTTCAGAGGTCGTCTCTGGTCCTATGAAATTTGCTTCCTTGAGGGAGAGACCAACAGTGAGCATATACATGAGCAAAATGATGGATAGTGTTAGAGGCTGCAAAGACACATAGACTGTGAGGTAGGGCATCCAAGAAAAGCTTTTCTGAAATGAGCAGACACCCAAATGGCATGAGGGGCAGCCAGCACAAAGGCTGGCACCTGACATGTCATTTCAAACAAACACAAAGGTAGGCTGCACCTGAGTAAGTGAAGGGGAGAAGGTAGAAAACAGGGCCGGGAGAGCCTCAGGGACAATGTTGTGTAGGGCCATGATTCTAGACCCTGGAAAGTGGCAGGGGAACAGCATGATGTGACTTACTTTCTAGAAAGATCCTGCTGGCTGGCTGCTGAGATCGAAGTATGAGGAGGGGATCAGGGTGCTTAAATCTTCCTGACGTCTGGGGAGAGGGTGAGATAGGAGGGAATCTTGAGAGATGAGCGAGAACTGCCCAGGAGAGGAGGTCAGGAGGCATCCTGGCAAAAGGGAGAGCAGGAGCAAACACACAGCAGCATGGAAGACTCTGGAATTTTTGCAGAACTTCGAGGAGTCTGGCACGGTAACAGAGATGGATCCAGACATCAGGCTGGAAGAGTAGGGGAGAGCCCGACTGCCAAGGGCTCCTGTCCTGTCCTTTTAACTTCTCATGGCACCCAAGTCAAGTGCTGGTCCAGTGATGCAGGCAGAGCCTGAGGTAACCCTGGGCTAAATGTTCCCCAGGGAGTCCACATCTCCCCAGCACTTTGTAAGAGGGCGGGAAGGACACAGTTTCTTGTCCCTCCCACCGCCCCCTCCTCAGACTGGAGGAAACTGTGTGCCCATCCCTACAGTTCTGGGCAAAGCTGTTGGTGCAGAAATCAGACGACAGACAAGATTGAAGGGTGTCAATGTCAAGGTCGGTCGCAGGAGAAAACGTCAAGGGGACATCTTGTCTTCCAGACCTTCTCATTTCTCTTTGGAGGAAACTTGTATTTCAACCTTAACTCCTAGGTACACATACGCTGAGCCTTAAAGGCAGCATTTGAGTAGGTGACCGAAAGAGTAGGCTGGCGTTCCAGAAAGAGAACAACGTACACAAATGTCCGGGAACCAGAAAGTACCCTTGTCCATGGGCGGCTGATCCGAGGCTGGAAAGGCAGGTTGAACCTGGGTTGTGAAATGCTTGGCTGACGGGCTTGACAGTCACCAGAGCAGTTTATTCCTAAACCAGATTCCCCAGTTGATCAGAGTAACCAAACCCTAAATGTGCAGTGTTTTGCATTTTGTCCACGGTGGATGCCAGGGCAGTGTTTGCTGGCTTGCTTGAATCAACAGATGGAAATCTGTAAATGTAGGACAGATTGCCCCATTTAATCTTTATGATCAGTCATGTCCATACTGATGGACTTAACTGAGATCAAAAGTCCTATCCGCTCTAACACAGATTTCAGAATTTTAACTGCAGTGATGTGGACTTTACGTCACGGAATCTGGGTCAGACGTCAAAGATCAGCAATGTGCAGAGGGTCGCAGGCTGGGGACTCACAGAGATTTCAAGAGCCCTGGATCCTTCTGTCTCCCATCTTGGAGGAGGTCTCCCGCCCTAAGCAGCACTCTTGGGGCCTCTCCTGCACCACTCTGGGTTCTTAGCCAGCACAACCTGCACACTTAGGAAGCATTTCAAGTCAGGACAAGGGAGTAGCACTGGCTTCGAGGGCTTGAGAGGGCCCGGACTAAAAACCCTGCAGAACAGCTTATTCCGTCTGAACCGGGACAGCAGACACCGGGAGACAAGGGACGAGGTTCGATTTGTCCCACTGGCCTCCATGCCATATTGCCACCCACGCCTGCGTCCCCCTGCGCTCCTCTGCTTAGGCACAGACTGCGTTGCCCCGATGTCCAGGGAGCAGGGCAAGACGGTGAGTACAGCGTGCGGTGCAGGTGCCCCCGCCCGCGGGGAGGTCGCTGCTATACAACTGTACCGGGTGGAGGGAAGAGCGTCCCCTCTTCCCCGCAGTCCCCCTCCACACTTGCAGGAAGAGACCTCCCAGGCTTTTCTCCTAAAAGCAAACTCCTCTGGGACTTGTCCGATCCGGGGTAAGGCAGGTCTTCCCCGGGAGCCACGCGGCGGAGGGCGGACCGCCGTCTCCCGCGCGCATCTGAACGCGGACTAGGTGCAGCCCCGCCCCCGCTCAGCCGGGTCACCCGAGGGGACCGTCCTGGGCTCACGACCCCTGCGCGGGGCCCGCCCACGCGAGTTCCGCTCCTTCCCGCCCGGGCCGCACCCGCGCCGATCAAAGACTTCCTTCCGGACCCCGCGAAGCCCAGCCCGCCCCGGGTCCCCAGAGGCCCAGCGGGGCCCGGCTCCGCGACTGCAGGACGGCCACTTCCGAGAAGAAAGGAAACCGCGCGAGCGGCTGGGGGACCGGAGTCGGCCTGCAGGGCCCCGCGGCCCCGCCCCCAGCCCGCCCCGCCAAGCCCCGCCCCCGCCGCCGCGGCCCCGCCCCGGCCCGAGCCCCAGCCGGGCTTCCGCGCCCTATTTGGGCATTCGGGGGGCGGGCGGCGGGAGGCGGCGCGCAGCGGGCGCCCGTGCGCAGAGGGCCCGCTCTGTGGCGCCGCGGACGCTCGGTCGGGGAGCGCGAGGCCAGCGCGTCCTGCCCTCGGAACAATGGGAGTCGGCGCGCGCGGAGCCTGGGCCGCGCTGATCCTGGGCGCGCTGCTGGTGCTGGCGCTGCTGAAGGCCGCCGTGGACAGCGCGGACCTGGACGGTGGGTGGCGGCGGGGGCGCCAGCGCGGGCCCCCCCCGTGGGCGCCGGGAGCGCGGAAAGTTGTGCGCCTCTCAGGCCGCGCGCGTGGGGCGGGCTCGGAGGCGGCCGGCGGGGGCCGGGGAAACGGGGGCTCGGGCCTGCCCCCGCCCCTGCCCGGCCCCGGGGCTGTCCCCTCCAGCGGCGCTCGCCGGTCCGGAGGGGCGCGCGTCACCTGTGGAGTGACCCGGGGGCTCGTGGTTCCCCCCCCGACGTCGGTGTCCCCACGCCCCCTTCTGTAAACTAGCGGGGTGGACCCCCGCGCACCCGCGCCCGACACGGGGGTCTCGGACGAACGCTCTCTGGCCCTGAGGCCCCTGGACGCTGAAGGGGGTGGCGCTGTGCGGAGAGCGCGCTGCTCCCGGGACGGTCCTGGGGGTGCTCCCCCCCCCCCGCGGTGGCACCTGCCCCAGCGCGCACCTGCCGTGCAGCCCTTGGGCCGCTTCTGCCGTTTGTGCGCGCTCAAGGCTCGGGCCCCGCCTTCAGCACCGCGACGCCGTGGTTCTGGGGGGCGCGGTGGGGGCGCCGGGGACTTTGAAAGGCCTCCAGGAGAGAAGCAGCGAAGCCGGGGTTTGCTGTTCATTCCCTGTTTCCTCTGTGGGCTATGGCAGCTCTGGGGCCGACGGGTGATGGCCCGTGAACGAGGGTTACAAGTGACCCACGTTCTCCGCAGTTTGAGCTCTGTCCATCGGGTGTATGTTTGGCCCGAGATCCGTTTTACCCAGGGGAAGATAAAGACGCCAGTGCAGGCACAACACCTGCTTTGTTAGAATAATCTGGGTGAGTTAGACAATAATAATTTTTTATTGTTTTGCTGATTTTTTTGCTTTGCTGAATTGTGCATGTCACAAGCCGGCTTTGCAGACCTGAGACTATTTAAGGAAACAATGATCAGTAAATCACATGTATCATATTTTCAATATCATGAGGTGTTTCAGTGTAAGGTGAACGGTCTGGACAGAATCAGTTTATTTTGGTGCCTATTTTATACTAAATAAGTTTTTTATATAGAAAGTCTCCTTTTTTTAATGTTATTTGTGAAAGTAAACCTTTTTATTGTTTCTCTGATGAATTACTGATTAGAGAAACTAAGCATCCTTGCTTTACCTTTTTTTTTTTTTTTTTTGGCCCTAATAAAGATTTTTTTTTTTTGGCCCTATTTTAATACTCACCGTTTGTTCTGTTTGTTACTTAAAGTCTCACTAGAGGTTAGTGCTGTATGGAATCTTGGCATGAAGGTTCTACTACAGGAAAGCCTTCATTTCATGAACGAGTATAACAAACATGAGCTGGAAACCGTTTCTACAGACTCTAATGTCACTTTGAAACTAGAGTAAAAGGTTCTGTAGAGAGTTTCTCAAAATAAGTAAGTGTCACTATGAAATCCAGTAACTTTTAACAATCATCCTAGAGCTTCTACATTGTTTTTTTTGTTTTGTTTTTTTAAAGATTTTATTCATTTATTTGACAGACAGAAATCACAAGTAGGCAGAGAGGCAGGCAGGGAAGCAGGCTCCCCGCCGAACAGAGAGCCAGACGTGGGGCTCGATCCCAGGACCCCGGGATCATGACCTGGGCCAAAGGCAGAGGCTTAACCCACCAAGCCACCCAGGCGCCCCAAGCTTCTACAGTGTTTTTTACTAGGCACTTTTCCTGGGTCCTCCCCATGCTGAGTGAGGTCCGTATGTCATCACATTGGAGCCTCACAGTATTATTCCCATTTTATAAATGGAAAAAAGCTGAGGCTTAGAAATTGCCGAATTTATTCAAAGTAAAACAGCTAATACCTGTTTGATTTCAGAGATTAAGATCCCAAAGCTTAATGCACCATTTTGCCACTAAGTCACTTCAGGTGGTGGTGGCCGTTCACACAGATGATGCTTACACGTACGATCTGCTGTTGCCTGTGATAACGTAGGAGAAGAAAAAAGAGGGGACGTTCTATCTTAAAAATACCCTGCACGGTCAGCTGGGTACTTTCATAAACACCCTCAGTTGGAGGAGTGGGGAGGCCACGAGCAAGTTAGCAAAGCAGCAGACAAGATAGATAGTGGCAGTGCATGGCTGGGGGAAGGCTGTTCATCAGGACTCCTGGTGGCAAGTGACAAACCCACCTTGGACAGCCTTAGTGGAAAGCAGACACTCTCCTGAGCCTGTAGCACAAAAGTCCAAAGTGGCTTCAGAAATGCGGTATTCCGGAGTTCAGATAGGTTCCCAGGAGAAGGCCACTGCCGGCTCTCTTGATCACATCTGTCAACTCGCGGGCGAGCCAAGCCCAGCCAGGCCCAGCCATAGTTCAAGCCTGGGGTGGGGATGGGGGTGGGGTCGGGGGGACTCCAAATAACAGGGACTTTCTAAAGTGAGTTCTCAGCGCCCACAGCCACCATAATGGGCAGCCTGTTAGGAGAGTAAATTAATCCTTACTGAGTCCGTGCCGCGTCATGGATGTAACTTTTTCTTCCATTTGGCACATTGTTCTGTGTTAATACTTGGTCTCCGTCAAGTAAAGCATCAGCCTCTTTGTAGTTAGATGCCGTGGTATTCCTTGTCTCCTAGGATACAGAGCCACCGCCTGCCCACAGCGGGTGCGGCATTAGTAACTGATTCGACAGTGGAGAAAAGTCCTAGAGCCACAAAGATCATCTGCTTTTGCCTCCTTTTTCAAACCAAAAGGTTGCTGGGACATGACACGTTATAGGACTGACAACAGCAGGGAGACAGAAGGGGGGCTTGTGCTGTGTTCCGGGCAGAAGGCAGCGGCCTGTTGGTAGTGACCTAAGTGCCTGGAGTTCTTCTCTGGGGGGTGAAACTGAAGTTACCTGCTAATGGCTTAGAGGAGGGCATGGGGAAGAGGGAGGAATTGAGGGTGACCTCTTGGTGTGGGGGCTGGACAACTGGTAACCCAGCAACGGAGACGCCTGGGGAGAAGCCGATTTGTAGTAGAAGATCAGCGCGTTCTTTTGACACCCCCGCGAATGGGCTTTGCAGTCCCACAGCCCGGTCCAAATCCAGGCTCTGCGACTTTCCTAGCCAGGTGGCCTTCTCCGGGCCTCACTTCCTGTCACTGCGGAATGGCATTTATGTCCCGGAATTGTTGGCTGCGGTGGATGAGCTGTGAAGTGACAAGCCCCCGGGAGGCCTGGCATGGGGACGCTCTTCCTACCACTGGCAGGTGGTTGATACCCACGCTACACACAGCTGGAAGGACCGGAACAGACACTTCTCCGAAGAGGACGTACAAACAGCAGACACATGAAAGACGCTCGACATCCCTCATCATCAGGGAAACGCAAATGAAAACCACGAGGAAATACCACGTCATGCTTGTTAGGACACTGAGAAGGAAGAAGGAACGACAGGTGTTGGCGGGGATGCGGAGCAAGGGGAGGCCTGGGGTGCTGCTGGCGGGAGGCTGGAGGGCGGGCTGGTGCAGCCGCTGTGGGTAGCAGCGTGGAGGGTCCTCCAGAAGCTGAAACTAGAGCTGCCCTGTGACCAGCAGCCCCACCTCCGGATGGGTGTTCAGAGAGGATGAAGACGGTTACTTGATAGATGCAGCCCTGTGTTTACTTCAGCATTATTTACGGCAGCTCAGGCATGGAAGCAGCGCGGATGTCCCTCGGTAGATGAGCGGATAAGGACGGGGGTGGGTAGCTGAATGTCACTGAGCCCCAAAATGAACGTGGTCTTGCTGTTTCCAACAACACACACGGACCTATGCTGTATTATGCTACGCGAAAGAAGTCAGTCAGAGAAAGACAAATGCCGTATGATTTAGTTGTCTGTGGAATTTAACAAATGAACAAAGGAAAGAAGACAAACTCTAAAATACAGGGGGCAAACTGGTGGTTGCCCGAGGGGAGGTGGGAAGAAAGAGAAAACCCGACCCACTTGGTCTTCTCTCCATGGCTTGAAGTTAGGGGTCTTCGTGCTGTGAGACCCAAGGGTGCCCTTGTGTCCAAAGGGCCCCTTGCCGGTGGCGCAGTCCCTTCAGAGGGGCAGAAAGGGGCTTCTCTGTCACCAGTCCCTGTGTCCTGTAAGGGAATGACCTCTGCAGGAAGTGGGGCCTGGGGAGGAAGATGTAAGTGTTTGTCACCGGAGCCCAGTGTTTTCTGTGCTGAGGACCCCAGTAACATGACCCCAGGTGTCCCGGCCAGTCAGGTGTGCTACATACCCGCGGCACAGGAGAGCCTCCCAGGGACTGTGTGCCTCCTGCAGGTCCCCACAACCTGTCGCCGGTGTTCTTAGATAAACATTAAATGCTTTTTCCTCACGGGACGTTTTGTTTTTATATGCTTACAGAATCTGTAAAGACAAAGAACTTGGTGCCTTCAGGAAACCACAGCGCGAACCCCCCAGGTGAGTCTGGAACCGGCCACGCAGAAGGAGGTACAGGCAGGCGGGTGCGAAGCGGGACCCCAGCTGGGTGACCCGCCAGCCGCAGGCTCCCGAGTCCTGGTGGCTCCTGTCGGGGCTGCCCCTGCAGGCGTCAGCAGACCAGAGCCAGGGGCTGGAGCCGCCCCTGTAGCCCCACGGGGTGCAGACACGCTCAGCCCTCCAGTCTGGCACCCCACGCTCTAGGGCTCAGCCACGGAGCTGGGTCCCGGCTGAAGGCTCTGTGCGGGTTGAACACAGGAGTCGTCGCGTCCGCCCATTGGGCCAATGGGACAGGCCATTCCACGCTGGTCAGCCGCCTTCGGACGCCCAGGGTCCGGGCCCCTGCCAAATGGGTGGAGAGCCCTCCCTGGTGCCTGCGGTGCCTGCGGTCGGGAGTCTCCGAGGCCTCTGGCGTGGGAGGATGCGGGAAGTGCCCACCACCCCGGGTCTGGTCAGCCGGGGCCAGGTCCCTGTCCTCCAGGCGCCGATCGCCCAGAGCGGACCGAGCGGTGAGCCAGACCAGAGCACCCAGACCTATCCCTCTGCCTGCCTGCCGGGCGGCGCCCATGGAGTGGCGCGGGCAGCCCTGACGGTGTAGGTGCTGGGAGCACAAAATCGGCCAGACCCTGGCCTCTAGCCCTTGTGGTGGGGTTTTCAGTTTTATTTCCATGGGAAAATACCCAGGATGTGACCGGTGGGCTGGCAGCCGTGTGTCAGCACCCTGCTGGGCCTGGCTGCGGAGGTCTCTGCACTCTGCACCTCTGCCTTTCCTACTGGCTTCTGGCCCAACACAGAAAGTTCTTCCAGTTCAGCTTCAGTCATTCCGTGGGGGAGTTTCCATCTGGGGAGAAGAGACGAGAGAGGTTGCCGCAGAACATAATCATGGTGATGGCTGGGCACATGTAGGAGGGTTTGTAAAAATATCTTATTAGCTTATTAAGTGCCTTTTCCCGAGAGCCTACAACGTTGAAGAAACTTCCCGTACATTTGTTCATTGCACAGTGCGGAGCTGGGGGTGGTGTCACACAAGAGGGAGCTGAAACCCAGACGGGTTACCTCGCCTGCCCAAGGTCACACAGCACATTCAGGATTTGAAACTCCCTTCCTCGGATTCTAAACCTGTGCCCCTTCCCCACATTTCCTGAAACTGCGGTGTGGTCTCCTCTTTGAAATACCACCGCTCACGATGGTGAACCGTTGTGAAAGATCAGCGGGGTACGCTGAGGGCCCCTCTGGGGTCTGCGGGGTGATTGCACAGGGAGAGTCATGGGGAACAAGGAAGGCATTGCCCCCCAGCGTCTTTGTGAAGACATCAGCTGTTACACACTGTGTGTTGCCTGGTGGGGAACACTTCCCAGAGCCATCACAGTATTCTTCCCGTACCCTCTTTGGTCTTGGAAAGCCTTGTGTACCATGCTGAATTTGTGTATTTTTGTGGGATGGGATGCTTAGTATTTTGTCTTTTGTGATGACATTACCAATTTCTCTGCTGCTGCTGACCTAACACAATTCATTTGGCATCAGTTCCAGAAGGAAAAGAACATTTTTCATGGGAACGGCCAGTAGGACAGCGCTTGTTGCTTCCAGATGGCTGGCCGCGTTGGGATCTGTGTTTCTCCCTTCTCTGCCGGGGTTTTAGCCTCATCTGAGTTCTTTGGGGGTGGCTTCCGTGATTTACTCACCCCAGCACTGTGCCTGGTACACAGGACGGACCACACATGCGCGGCTGACCTGGACCGTGGAACCAAATGTGTCTGTTGTAAGCCCCGCCTCACCTTACCAAGAGCCGCTGCACGGGGTCTGCAGACAGCACGGTCCGTGCTCCAGGGTGATCCTTTACTACAGCTGTTCTGTGGCGGTCCTTGTTCGTGGAGGGGGACGGATAGCTGAGGTCCGAGAAGCTGGAGTTGAGGCCTCTGTCCCTTACATGGGAACGTTGTATTTCCTTAGAGGCAGGAGCCACCGAGGATAGCCATAGCTTTGACATTCTTTGCGCAGGGTTTTATTGAATTTTAGTAATTCTGCAGAAGGTTTTCATTTGTGGGGTGGACAAAAAGACCACGGATTACCCGAAATGTCTAATAATGATTACTGTCGGGTAGTTATGGGAGGGTTTTTGAAAAATGTGTTAGGTCACGTGCACATTTTCAGCTCAGAGAGAAAACTTCCCCGTTTTAGATACAGGCGGAGGGCTTCTGGCTTGGGGTCCGCGGTGCACGGAGGTCCCGGGTTATTGTTCGTACGGGGTCTGGGTGGAGCTGCGGGGAACGTGACGTGGTTCGGAATGGACAGCGTTTCCGTCAGTGGCCGGACGCCAGCTCGCTGTCCCGCAGGACGGGCCTGCTCCTTGGCCACTTGTCCCTGACGTCCCCCGAGAGGAGGAGCCCGAGAGGTCCGGGCCCCCTTCCCGGTGGAAGCTCTGTTCCGGGGCGGGATTCGTCCCAGCAGGCATCAGCGGGCGGTGGCCGGAGCGCGGCCGTGCGGGCGTCTGCGGCGCGTGGTCCGGTCCGCACACGCGTGCGTGCGATGCCGGCACTTGGGGGAGCTACGTGCCGGGTCGTGGCAGGCTCCCAGCTGGCCTCGTGCCTGCGGTCTTGGTCCCCGGAGCCCGACCCGCAGCTCCTGCCCCCGGGTTTCCTCAGCGGGGAGAGCGACCCACGTGCGTGCGGCTGCACTAGCGAAGTCTGAGGAGCGGGCGGGGCGGGGCGGCCCCGTAGGACCGCGTATGACCCCGTGCGTATGACCCCGTGCGCAAGAGCACGTACGACCACATACGACCGCGTGTGACCCCGCGCGTAAGAGCACGTGCGACCACATACGACCGCGTGTGACCCCGCGCGTAAGGCCACGTGCTACCGCGTGTGACCCCGCACGACCCCGCGCTAACCGGTCGGCGCTTTCCGCACCCCCCAGCTGCGGGGGACAGGCCGCGGCGGACGATGGAAGCACGGCTATGGGACGAACCCTCGGGAAAAGCCACAGGCGGGAGAGCGTCCGGGTGGGGGAGCCGGAGAGACGCGGGGGGGGGGGGGGGGGGGCACCCGGAAGCTCCGCCCCCGCCGCGCCGCGATCCCGCGGCTTCCTCTGACGGGGGCGGCGGCCTCCCGAGCTGCTCCAGCGCCCACAGCGCCGGGCGGAGAGTCCCCGCCGCGCCTGGGGCGGTGGTCGCGGCGCAGTCTCTGTCTGCGGGGCCTCGCGCGTCTCCAGGTGGGTAAGTCCGCAGGCCTCGCGCGTGCCGGGGTCCCAGGAACTGCGTGGCGCTGTGGGCGCTCCCGGCGTCGTGCCGGGCAGGTGGGGGCCGGGAAGCCCGGTGCGGCGTGAAGCCGAATCGCGCCGCGGGTTCGGGTTGCTCCTCGTTGAGGGCGGGGAGCCCCGTGTCGTGTGGGGGGTGGTCCGCGCCGCTCCTGCGCCCGCGGTCCAGGGCGCTCGGCGTCCTAGGAGCGCGTCTGGGCCTGAGAGCGCGGTTAGCTGCTGTGCGGGCTGCGGGAAGCACGTGCTCCTCTCCCCGCTCCGGTTACCCGCCAGTGTTCCCGCTGCTGCTGGGCTCGCCCGGCCGCCTGGGCACCGGCTCCTGGAAGCGCGCCGACGCTGACCTGCGGAGCATTGCCCTGCGCTCGCGGCGGGGACAGCCTCGGTCTGTTACTGTCTGGCGAGAACTGCTTTGGCTGCCTTCAGTCCGCACTGAGTTTGTTTGTTTCTTTGTTCTAAGATTCGATCCGGTAGTTTTTCATGAGTCCCCACCCGCCCAGGACGTGTACCCTGTTCCATTTCAGGGAGGATGGAAACATTACCGCTTTGCTTTTAACTGACCTCGGGCAAGTTATTCACCCTCTTGGTGCTCAGTTCCTTCTAGTAAAACAAAAAGCTGGTAAAATGCAGGTGTCTCGTGGGATACGGGAGGCAGCGTGTAAAGCACCTGCCGCCGAATGGCCGCTGGCACGAGCTAGAAAGTGAATGCGTTCCTCCTTGCCCTCTGCCACCATGACAGGTTCTTTAATCCCCCCTACGTGCACCTTCGCTGCCACTGTGCCTTTGCACGTGCTGTTCTGGCTCCCAGAAGAGCTCTTCCCTCCTGCCTTACCAGGGTAACACCCATTCAGCTTTCCCATTTTGGTAAGCGTCCCTTCCTCATCAGGGAGGATGAGTCGTCTCCAGCCTGCAGTTCCAGGCCCTCAGAGGACCCAGCTGTCGAGGGTGTAAGTGGACCTCTTAGGGGTGGTGGTGACTTGACTCTCCACCTCGTCCCCAGGGCTCAGCGCAAGACCGGACATAGATTTTTGCTGAAACAAGAAGGAGGAACGTGCTCTGGGAGGAGGAAACCAGTTTTCATGCTTCCCAGGGCAGCCGCACCTGTGGGATTAGCGGGGCGCTCCTTGGTCAGGCTAACCCACACCTGCGCTCCGCCTGTGATGATCCTTCCCTTCACAGCTGGGCTGAGTGGGGCTTCCGTGCTAAGGGGAGCGTGGCCAGGGTTGTACCACTGCATTCCAGCACAACGCTGTTTTCTTTGCTTATGTTCTCATCAAGTCTCCCAGCAGGACCTGATGGGATGTGCAGGAAAGGGGTTGGACAGGCCTTTCAGATACTAGAGGACAGCAGGGGCGTGGCCTGGCTCACCAGCGCCCTGCGGTGCTCAGTCTTCCTGCTGAGTCGGAGGTTCCGGGGTCAGACCGGTGACCTCGTGGCAAGGCAGGAACACCTGAGCTCTGCCCGGACATGAGGAAGCATCGTGAAGGGGATGTGGGGAATGGGGTTTGGGAGGGGAGGGAACAAGTTTGCTGGAGCTGCTCACGGAGCTTGGGTTTGATAGCAATGCAGAAGGAAGCCACCATAGGATAGGCAGAGGAGGCAGAGGGCGGAGAGAGAGCCTCTGGAGGGAAGACGGAGAGAGTAAGGGCCAGGAACGGCAGTGAGGTCAAGTCGGGAGTGAAGGGGGGCCCCTGTACTGTGCTTCCTTGCATGGGAGGCAGATGGGGGGGCGT